TATATACATATATATACATATATATACATATACAGTGTATTAGATTGTTGTTAGCATTTCACTTTAGTGATTCAAAATTTTTAAGAGATTCTAGAAGTGTGCTACGCTTCTGACTTTATTGATACTTTTATATTTGAATATATTCCCTCGATTCTGACTTCAGTACTTTTTTCATTCATGGCGTCTTCTTGACTTCCTGTCTTCCTGACTTCCTGACTTCCCGTCTTCCTGACTTCCTGACTTCCCGTCTTCCTGCCTTCCTGACTTCCCGTCTTCCTGACTTCCTGTCTTCCTGACTGCCTGTCTTCCTGTCTTCCCGTCTTCCTGTCCTCCTTCCTCATGTAGCTCCTTCCTCATGTAGTTAAAGGTCAACTGACGATGCAGGACGCCTCGGAGTCCCAGGTGCAGAGAGGCGGCTTTTAAATTAGGGCTGTGATGCTTCTCCAACGGCTTCTCCCTCATAATTTGATCATCATGTTGTCATTACCGTAATACCAGAACGATGGCTCACTGACCAGCTGGGCCGAGAAAAGCCAAGTGACGGAGGAGGGAAAATAGAGAAAACAAAAACGGAGAAGACTCTTCTCTTCTGCTCATATAAAACATAACTAACTTGGGTGTAAGAAAATATCGATCACACTTTGACTACAGTGACACTGGGGGAAAAAAACTCAATATATCGGCGTGACTATAGTATCGCAACATATGGTATTGTTCGCCCTGTATTGTGGTGCGTATCGTATCACCACTTTCTTGCCAACGCATATTCCTGCTATCTTCAAAATCAAGTTTTAGATTTTGACCTCTGACACGTGACACAGTGTTTGTGAATTCAGAGAAACCAGATCTGTGATCACCAAACGTACGTCAACTCCTGTTTAATTTCACGTAGTTAGTTTTCATATGTATCCTTCCACTCTTACTGCATTGTGGTTTCTCATTTCAAACATTAATAATAAAAAATATTTATTTATTTGTCGATTCTTTGCATTTGTAAATAATTAAAAAAAGAAATCCTCACAGACTCAAAGGTTTCTGTCTGTGCTGAAGAGGACAACAGTCGGTGGTTGTGTTTGACACTGTTCTAGTGATGAAGGAAAGACTGTGACTCAAAATTACCAACGATGCAGAGCCGATGATGTGTTCACGGCAGTGGGAAATGTCTAACTTTACCTCAAAGCATCAAACTGAAACTGACACATTTGATTTTAGGAAATTAAATGTCAACATTTAGCAGCAAAATAACAACTGACCTGTAGATGGAGATGTTTTCTATCAGCTGGTTGGAAGCGCTGTCGTACAGGATGATTCCTCTAGGGGACACTGTTAATGTGACTTTCTGCAGTTTTTTCCCACTGGCTTTGGCCTGGATGATGGAGGAGGAAGAAAAAAGTTCAAAAAAAAAAAAAAAGATATATTGATATACTGTGAAATCCGATACTTTAGGCACAATGATATATTGATTTAAAAAAAATCGATACAGCGCTGTAGAATATTGATACAATATCATGAAAAAAATATTGTTAAAAAAGAATTCAGTGTATTGATGTTTTCTTTTGGTACTAAGGGTTTTCTTACTAATTGAATTAAAGTATCTTTTAAATTAAAGTATCAACCAAATGTGACGTCAGCAGGGGGAGCAGTGTGTGGGGACGGTGCCATGCCCAGAGCACCTCAGTGGCAGCTGGTGGAGTCGAACCTGAAACCTTACAGACCCAGGTCTGCTTCCTTAACCACTAAGCCACTGAACCCCACTGAACATCTGAATTGGTAAAAAAAAAAAAAAAAAACCTCAATATAAACAGTATGGTCTTGTCTGTAGTTCGCAATATATCGTATCGTTGCCACTGTATTGCGATACGTATCGATTATTAATGCCAGATTCTTGCCAATACACTTGGACCCACGGGTCTAATATTTGTCCATCCATCCCACGAGGCTTCACCCACTTATCCGTTAACGGGTCTCCACAACCGCCACCCAGATCACACAGCACCGCACCAACCACCCCCCCACCCCCCCCACCCCCCGACCCTTCCTGCGGGTGGTGAGTCCACTGGAAGGTACCAACCGGCCTAACCGGGATTCGATCCTGGGTCTCACCAGGAGGTGAACCCTGGGGCTCCACACCAGAGAGCCAGCCTCTGGGCCAGAGCACCAATGTTTACAATTTGTCCTCATGGATAAACAGTGGCTCAGTGTCCCTCAGTGGTAACTCGGCAGCTTCGGGATTCAAACCTGAAACCTTCTGGACGCAGTTCTGCTTCCTTAACCACCACGCCTCCACTGACCAAGACCATGAAATGATGCGTGTACGGTACGAGAGTCACAGCTCACCGTGGCCACGATCCTCTTGACGGCAGCGGCCGACATCTCCTCCCCTTTGGGCTGCTCCACCATGGTGACGCCGAGGTACTTGAGTTGGAAGGTCATGCCTTCCAGCAGGGTCTCCCTGGTGTCCGTCCAGTTCTCTGGGAGCTCTGAAAGAGGAGAATCACACGACGATCACACCTCGGGCTCATCAACAACACCGCCGCCATGACACACGTGTAAAGCTGAACGCACACTCCACTGCGGCACTGGACAGTCTAATGCGGCCTGTTGGAGGTGTACAGCTCCGGAGGACAGCACGGCTCTGTGCTATATTAAGCTAGCCAAGTTTCAAAGAGAATCATTATCAAATGTTCCACCTTAACGGAGACTTTTTGTAGTTTGCATCATGACCATGTTTCATTATTACTTTTCTTTCCTGAATTGGAATATTTTTGGTTCAGAATAATGATATCAGGAAATATTCATTCATAACATGGAAATATATACATACATATATAACCCTGTATGTACATAAACCCACAGATTTAACAGTAACTGTTAGCATGTGGCTAATAATAATTCTTTATCGTTCACATGGTTACAAATCATGTACATTTACATGGGAATCGAACCCAGGAGGATCAAATCCCCCCAAAAAATAACATTTAATTTGTAGTCACTTTTTAGATGAAGAAAGAAAAATCATTGTAGTTTTCCACCTATGGTTCAACTCATGTCATTTTCACTTGTCAATAACTGTTGTCAACAACACCTGCAGTGACAACAAAGGTTCACTGTAGCGAGGAAAAGTCACTTTTTTTGTCAGTTCTCCAGCTACGAGTCTGAATCAGGATCCATTTATTCAACTCTGGAACATCGACATGAAAAGGTAACAAAAATAAAGTCTGATGTTTAAATGTTTCTGTGCAGCCAGCAGATTATTCAAAAAGCCAATTTCCTCCGTCTTCTTAGACAATGAGAGGCCATTTAGTCAGCTGTTCAAAGCTCGGTCTTTTGTCTTCTCAGGAGGTTGCCAAACGTCTGGTTGACAGGACTGAGGACACAGTGAGGGAGGACAAAGAACCCGACTCCGTCCTTCCATACGACACCGAATCAATAAAAACCATGTTCTCGTAATGCTGACAGTCAGAACTGGATCTCCAGCAGTCAGCAGCTCCCACAGTAACACGGTGCCAAAACTGTTCCAACAAAAACGTGTTCTCAGAAGTAAACAACAAACTCTTCAGTCCACAATAACCAGGTTAACGTCCAATAACCAGGTTAACGTCCAATAACCAGGTTAACGTCCAATAACCAGGTTAACGTCTCCACACAGCTCCGTGGACACGGCTGTAATGTGACTGTCAGCCATTCGTCTCAACTGAGAAATTCAGGAGAAAACACATGAACAATGAATAATATATTAACTCTTTAGTCAGACCTGAGCAAACTATGGCCCGTGGACCAGATGCGGCCCATCTGGCTCTTTAATACGGCCCGCCAAACACTAGTGAAAAGGTATGGTAAAGATCGATGGCAATCCTTCGGTTTCATGAATTACAACAAATCCACCGTAATTTCCGTCAAAGGTTTTAAATGTGCCAAAAATATTAAGTGTAAGGAAACATTGATGCACTGAGATATGGCAATATTTCCATTTCCTGATCCCGTATCAATCTCCTTAGTCATTGATCAGTTCTTGATTTCTTTTTCTCCCCAATACCCAGTCCAATATTCCTGGTGTTGGTTCATGTTCTTGTTCTTTTCTTTCTTCTCTAGTGATTCCAAATGTAGATCCAGAGTTAGGAACTGATGTTCAGATGGAACAGAGTCTGAGACTAGGATCAGACTTTACACACTACCACTAAATATAAATATATATCTATATATTGATTATTGAGTTTTTAAAAAAAAATCCTAATTATATCATCCTGACTATAGTATCACAGTATACCGCAATACATTGTCATATGTATTGTGTCGTATTGTTCAATAAAAACTCTTTTTAGGGAGGGGTCCAACATCCAACCAACACTGAAACGGCCCACGTGAGTCTGATCCTGAACCTCAGTTTGGACCGTGAGCCAAAATGTTTGCCCACCCCTGCTACAGGACCTGGTGGTCCTCATGCCACACATTGGTTTTGTTACCATTTCATCTCAGTGACCTGTGTAAACGATGACGTGTGTTTAATTTTGACCACTCTCCAGAGTCAGTGGTTCACTGAACCACGTGTTTAAATATAAATATTTGAAGCAACTCACTGAATTTAGTCATGGTAATTTGACATCTTTAAAAAAAATAAATAAATCCACAAATTTAAGAAATGTGAAAACTAAAAGACTGTGAAATTGTAATGGTCTTTTTGATGAAGTCAATCAGGAAAATAATGGGAGGAAATTAGAATGAAGGCGTTCACACCAGTCTTTTCTTCTGGCCAACGTAATTCCGAGTGCTGTCATTATCTCCGTAGCTAAGAGGTGCGGCTCTCAGCTCAACGACGCCCCCTACGGATGCAGACTGTCACGCCAAAATCACTGACAATTACTTCAGACTGCTGATAATGAAATGATGTCATTAAAGGTACAAAATTGTTTTTAATTGAAAAACTGCTTCCATAAACAGAACCACCATGACTGGGTCTCAATAGTGGAGCATTCGGAGCCTCGCAGGTTCTCCTGCAGCATTTCTCCTGCCTTCAGCCAAACCAAGCCAGCTGTGAGCGGCTGCGGTGAACGGGCTTTAATGGTCTAAATGCAGCTCGGCTCAAACCTCATCTTAAGTAATGGGTGTGTCTAAAGAGTGAACACCCACTCTGAGGTCGAGGTCCATCAGGCTGCGTTCTTCCTCCATATATATATATATATATATATATATATCGATCGTGATTTAGATAAAGTCGCAGATTGGTCCGAGTGGTTAAAAAAAAATGGAATATATCCACACGCATTGCATTTTTTTTTTTTTTTATTGGTTCCCGATACGATTTTTTCACAAATTTTTAAAAAGAGAATGAGCTCCAGATTTACGAAACAAATACAACAATCTACAAAATCTGAAAATGACGCCAGAGAATACAACTCCAGTCCCTGTAATACGGTGTCAGGCCTGCATGTGGCACTGTGTCGAATACACTCTAACATAAGAATTTGAACCAGAAGTTTGGAAAACCGTTAAAGAGCCAAAAGAGCATGTGTAAAAAAACACAACAAGGTGGCTAACTACAGTACACTAATTAGCCGAATTAGCTTCTCCGGCACAGTAAGAAGAATGGTTTTCGACCGCTCGATGAGGACGAGGTCGTTCCCGCTCTCCGTCAAGTCAAGGCCAGATCGGCACTACAGATCCAGAGCCAGGATAACCCAACCCCAAACTGGGAGAACAAGTCCATACAGCTGGGAATCAGACAATCACCTCCTACTTCCTGTAGGGCAGGAAGACTAACCACACCTGTACTGTGCGGCCCAGGTCCTTTCTGCACAACAATAACGGATAATCTGAAACACTGGTGGAGAACCAGTGCTCAGAACCACACTGGCGCCGCGGAAGTTCAAATGAGCGACCTGATCTATTTTTAGAGCCGTGAATACGCTCAGAGAGCTCCTTTGTACGGCATCAAAATCCATTTTCCTGTTGGTTACATTTGCATCCACACAACCCCCAGCCCCCACTCCACACTGGCTCTATTCACACCAGCTGACTGCAGCTTCCACACCGATTACGATGAACTTCAAAGGCTTTGTAGTTGCACTGGGGCTGTGGCCGGTCACTGGAGAACAGACACTGGAGAACAGACAGTGGAGAACAGACAGTGGAG